TAGGCCGTTGAGGGGCTTCAAACAAGTTTTTAAAAACTCCTTTTTCTCAATATTTCAATCAACTTTGATATTATTATTTTAACACAGGTCAGACTGCAAAACAATAGTTTTGGGACAGATAACATTGGCCAAAGAATGCTCTCAAGCATAATTTCCGATGACTTAAAAGAGTCAACTCAAAGATACACTCCACTCCAGTTATCGAAACAGAAAACGAATTCACTTTGAAAACAAACGCTCTTGGGGTCATCAAGTGTTTACTATGAACAGCTGTTTTTATTTTTTTTAAACCCCCCCTATGATTCATACTTTATAGCTGCAAACCTAAATAACCGCTAAACTTAGTGTAATTTAAATATGGAACCAATCTGATATATTTTTATAAATATTTGAGTGAAAAACTAATCAGGTATATTATAGACGTTCGTTTAGTCTGCATGTTTGCTGCAGCGGTAGTATTTCTCTATTCTGATTTTGTCTCTCTAATTTTTAAAACTCCTTCATAGATTGATTGGTTCATGCCGTTTTTGATAAATATGTTTGTTTAGATTATAGAATATGCTATACCAGCTGATCATTATTTTAATATGATTGTTTATGTTTTGATTTTACAGTTTTGTTTTCTGTTTACATCTTAATAAAATGAGTTCATTAAGTTATTCAAATCTATTCTTTATTTAAAACACAACAAATGGCGACGAGTGATGAAAGAAATTATATCAGAAGACTGAAACATAAAAGAGGAGCACTAAAAGGCCAGATTACAAGAACTCTACACCTATTAAAAAGCAAGGGTTCATCAGTCAATGATGCTCCTGGCAGATTAAATGTAGCAGAGGAAGCTTGGCATAAATTCATCTCACTACACGAAGATATTTTACAAATAGAAGATAAAGATGATTTTGAACAAGAAGAAGATTACAGGGCTGATGTAGAAGAGGTATATTTAGAGATAAGAGTATTGTTACAGCCATTCTTTATACCGAACAAATCTACAGATGAACACACAACTTCTATATCAGTTGCACACGATAGTCATGTACCTAACATTAACTTTACACCTTACACAGAGAACGAGACATTTAAAAACTTCTTGATGAGACTTGAAAACTATTTTCAGTTAAAGAAAATTACAGATGAAAAGACCAAGACATGTTTGTTTGTCAGTACACTTTCTCCAGAGATGCACCAAACATTGTGTGATACATTAGCTCCTGAGTTACCAGGTGACAAAACCTTCAATGAACTCACAGAATCTTTGAAAAATTGTCTTGAGCCTTCACCTAGCATACTAGCTAACCAACATAAATTTGTTTGCAAGGTTCAAGAACCTGGAGAGAACATTGCCGTATATGCCAGAGAACTTAAACGTTTAGCAACGGACTGTGATTTTTATTGTTATAACTGTGAAAGTACGGTAAGTGATATGTTCTTAAAAATGCAGTTCATACGGGGGTTAACAGACAATGAAATTAGAATTAGACTTCTTCAAGAAAAAGATGGTAAAATTTCTTACAACGAAGTGGTACAAACTGCGATTTCCATAGAACAATCTAAATCTGAAAGTTATGAAATTAACCGGAGAAATGGAAATACAATTCTAAAAGAAACTGCAAACATTAACCGCCTACAATCTGGATACAAAGACAAACAAAGTCAATTTAAGGGAAACAAACCCATAGTTTCATTTGAAGATTTAAGAGGCAAGTGTTACAGGTGTGGCAGTGAACAGCACAAGGCTAATTTATGCAGATTTAAGAACGAATTCTGTAGGAAATGTAATAAGATTGGACATATTTCAAGGGTTTGCTTATCTAGAAGTGGAACTGATGTAAGAACTGGGAAAAACAAGGAATTGAAATCAAACTTAATTGATATTGAGGACAACCATTCATCGATCCACGAGGTTTATACAATGGGATCAACTTCATCTGGAAGTGATAAGTTTTTAATAGATGTGGACATTGAGGGAAAGAAGCTGAAGATGGAACTTGATACAGGAGCAGCGTTAAGCTCAATATCTTACAGCGATTTTCAATCACTACATGTAAATAAACGTCTTTTCAAAACCGCTGTTGAAATGAAAACATATACTGGTGAAATCATCAAGCCTGTTGGAGTTTGTTTTGTCGATTGTAAATACAGAGATTTTAATTTCTACGGAAAGTTGTATGTCCTGAGACAAAAGGTTGAGCCAATATTTGGAAGAGAGTGGCTGAGAGAAGTAAAAATGGATTGGGCAGATATCAAAGTGGTTGAAAGTGATTGTTCAGAAAAATTGGACAAACTTTTGACAGAGTTTCAAGAAATTTTCACTCCCGGAATCGGAAAAATTACATCAGAACAAGGTCACATAGAGTTAAAAGAAGGAGCTAGACCTATTTTTATCAAACCTCGACAAGTTCCTTACGCATTGAAGAAATCAGTTGAAGAAGAACTAAATAGACTGGAGAGTAATGGAATAATATCAAAAGTTGAAAATTCAAAATGGGGAACTCCTATTGTTCCAGTAAGAAAGGCAAATGGAAACGTAAGAATTTGTGCTGATTACAAAGTGACGGCAAACAAACTTATATGTGACGACAAATACCCAATCCCGCGAATTGAAGATATTTTTTCTAACATGAATAAAGGTCGATATTTCTGCACATTAGACATAAGTAATGCTTATCTACACCTTCCGATGGACGAAGAATCTAGAGAAATACAGACCATAAGTACACATCTGGGACTTTATAGAGTAAATCGAATGATGTTTGGCATAAAAGTTGCACCAAGTATTTGGCAACGGTTTATGGATAAGGTTCTCCACGGTCTGGAAGGTACAGTTTGTTTTTTTGACGATATTTTGATACAGGGGAGCACTATTTCAGAGACATTAGATCGCCTACAGAAAGTTTTTGGAAGAATCAAACAGTTTAACTTGCGCTTGAATCGTGACAAATGTAAATTTTTCCAGAAGAGTGTCAAATATTTAGGACATGTCATAGACGAAAATGGCTTACACAAATCTGCTGATAATATTGAAGCTATAATTAAAGCCAAACGACCAAGTGATGTACACCAGCTAAGAGTATTTTTGGGTCTTGCCAACTATTACACACGTTTTGTACCAAGCATGTCCAGCTTACTGGAACCACTGAATGGTTTGTTACGGCAAGGAAAACAATTTACGTGGACTCAAGAATGTGAAGATGCATTTCTGAAAGTAAAAGCAGAAATAACAAGTGATCAAACTCTAGCTCACTATGACCCAAATGAAACGTTAATCCTAGCAACAGATGCAAGTCCTACAGGGCTAGGAGCTTGCTTATCACATAGATACAAGGATGGATCTGAGAGGCCCATTGCATTTGCATCAAGATCGCTTACGAAAACAGAACGCAAATACAGTCAGATAGATAAAGAAGCTGTGGGAATTTACTGGGGCTTAAAGAAATTCTTTGCATACTGTTATGGAAGGAAGTTTGTTTTAATAACTGATCACAAACCCCTTGTAGCCATCTTCAACCCGACAAAGACCTTACCATCTATGACTGCATCAAGGATTTTTAATTATGCTCATTTCTTATCGGGTTTTGACTATACAATTGAATACCGAAGTACGACACACCATGCTAATGTGGATTATTTATCAAGATTTCCTGTTACAGAAGTATCAAATGTATGTGACGACCATGAACGGTATCTAATAAATCAAGTAGAGATGATGCCTGTATCAAGAAGACAAATTGAAGAAGAAACACAAAAGGACGAGGAACTTAAAAAGGTATACGATCATCTTATATCAGGAAAAAGCTTAAAAGAACTCAGTTTGAATGATAATGAGTTTTGTCTACAAGACGGTTGCATATTCAGAGGGCATAGAATTTGTGTACCTTCCACTTTACACAAACAAGTCTTGGAAGAATTACATGCTGGTCATATGGGCATGACAAAAATGAAATTGCTAGCTAGAAGCTACTGTTATTGGAGGAATATGGATCAAGAAATTGAAGCTATGGTGAAACATTGTCATTCATGTCAACAAAAATTGAAAAATCCACCTAAGGAGACAACTCACCCATGGGAGCTCCCGAACGGACCTTGGGAACGCATACACATTGATTTTGCTGGTCCACTGCGGGGTTGGTGGTACTTAATCGTCGTTGACGCTTACAGTAAGTGGGTAGAAATTATACCTACAAAATCTACAACCACAGCTTGGTGTGTTAAGCAATTGGATAGATTATTTACAACCTTCGGGTTTCCTCATGTCCTGGTATCAGACAATGGAACTCAGCTAACTTCAAAACCTTTCAAAGATTTTCTCACAAGGTATGGAATAATACAAAAAACCATAGCTCCATTTTGTCCTAAGTCAAATGGACGAGCTGAAAGGGTGGTCCAAACTGTGAAGAGCCTTATAATTGCAAATGGATGTGTCGAGAGCAAGATTAACACTATACTAAAACAGTTGAGAAAAACACAGCATTCCACGACTGGGAAGTCTCCCTATAGCCTCATGTTTGGGAGGAATATAAGAACAGAACTTGATCTATTAGTAGAGAAGCCTAATTTGAAAGAGACAGAGATGCAAGTAACAAAGCGACACTTTAATATAGGAGAGGGAGTGCTGGTGAGGAACTACTCCCTTAATTCAAATGACAAATGGACAGTTGGAAAAATTGAGAAACAAATAGGAAATGTTATTTATCTTGTTAGAATGGAAGACGGAATTGTGTGTAAAAGACATGTGGACCAAATAAGAAGATTATAAGTATATGAAGAAAAATAAAGGAGGAGGATTGCTATACCAGCTGATCATTATTTTAATATGATTGTTTATGTTTTGATTTTACAGTTTTGTTTTCTGTTTACATCTTATTAAAATGAGTTCATTAAGTTATTCAAATCTATTCTTTATTTAAAACACAACAGAATATAAGCTAATTTTTTTGTTTGGTAATAGTCAACAGCAATCCATCTCTTAAATAACAGATAGTGTAATTTTTTTCCAGGAATGCCTAAAGAATCTGATGTTGGAACATTTGCCGAGTTTTACCGCGAGACAAAAAACGTTCCTCTTCACCCAGTAACAAGAGTTTCTCCCTTATTCAAAAGTGAAGATGAGGTAAGCTCTTCTAGTTCACTTTTACTAATCAAATAACCATGACTCATTTCTGTTTTGAGTCCATCAAAGAATTAAGAATTGAATTCACGAGATCTCTCCAGGGCACCTTTATTCAATCTGCACAACTATGTGAAGCAGTCGCATGTTGTATCTCAAGACCTCAATCATATATAGTGACAGTTAGAGAACCTGGATTTATTCTGGCCTTCTGCAATCAACAAGTTTAACAAGTACTTAAGTTTGCTGATACAGGGAAGGAAATGTGATTTTTTGTGAATGTTATTAGGATAGGCCTAGTATGAAATAAATAAATTTGATCAAAATGTCTATGAATAAATAAATTACACAGAATATAAATATACAATTATACAAATTTGACCAAATAATGAGTTTACACTTTTGTACCAAATTTAATCAAAATCGGATCAATTTTGCTTAAGTAATCACACTAACAGATACATTTCTCTACAGAATATAAATAATACCCCGCTGCAGCAAACATGCAGACTAAGCAAATTTCTATTAGTTGATTGGATTTTTGCTCAAATATTTCCATAAACAAGACATATTTATTCCCAACTCAAATAACATTAGATTTAACGAATACTTAGGTTGCTGTTATGGGGAAAGATTTTTTGCCTAATTATTAATAGTATATTATGAAATAAATAAATTTGCCAATTTTGATCAACATAGAATGGCTAACAATCAAACTACAAGGTGGCTGAAAAGTCTCCTTACACAATATTGAAGTATGTTTTAAACTGTTATAAACACGACGTATGAGCAAATATTTGTTCGTGAGTACAGTAGTACCAGTTAGTCTGGGCGCGCGGACCCTTGTGTACTAGCCGTCCTGAGAATTACGGCTCACTCATCCCCACAGCCCACAACCCTCAGCCACTGCACTGACGGCTTGCCGTGTGGGCCAGATTATTTTGGAAATGAGCAATAAACACTCCCCTCTACACCCCCGCCCTAGCGCGGCTGTGCGCCCAGACTAGCTGCGAGTAATGTAGTGAGGAAACAGTGGGGAGAGAGAACGAAGCCTCACTCTCCCTTCCTAACCACGCTACAGCTCTAGGACGCGGCGACACCCCGTGGAGAGTAAGGGCGGCCTTTGCACAAGTCACCCCAGAAATGTTGAGACAAATAAGCCAACGAACTTGGCGTCGAGTCAAGCTGAGGTATGCAATATGCATGCCAATGTTTTGGACTAAAAATGATGTAGTCCACAATACATTTCTGATTAAAATAGATTTTTATGGTTTAATCAATACCAATTGAATTTACCTTTAGTGTAAAGGGATTTTTCCAGCCACCCTGTACAAAAGTTTCCTTTTTCTCCATAAGAATAAAATGGGAATTTTAAATGTATAGATTAGTCTTACGAATTTTCTTGATAATCTTTGATTGTACAAGGCTTCAATCTAAAAAATTATAATATGTTTTTAGCTCTATACAAAAGCTATAATAAAAATTGAGCATTTTAAAATTTAGTAATAGGGTAATATCTTAATCCCTATATGTAAAATTTGCCAACACTTTCAACATTTTCATTTACATTTTTTCGTAAACATAAAATTCCCTAAAATTCATTCTTAAACTTAATTTTTAGCTACAAAATAAGTATAAGTTTTCCAGTGAAGTCTGTATTAAAATACCTACTGGGTGTCTAGTTGTGGGGAAAAACGGGAGAGTCGGGAATTAGTATTGAATTTCAAATTGGTTTTAAAAAGTCGGGATTTAGTCTTACATTGTTGTCACAGTTGGAAACTGTATGTACCATACAAAATTTAATAAAATTTTCACGATATTGCCGCGATCGCACAAGACGACGATTTGGGTTTTGTGAACGTGGGAGACAATGATGCTGTATAGACAGCCGCAAGAGATTTTCATGATTTTACTGTGTTCACTTTAGACGATGATCACGTTTTCGTGTACACAGTAGTCGATGATGATGTCTATACGGTCGTGGAAGTTAAACAGAATTTTACCGCTAGGAGTTTTTAGAAATTGTACCTAGAATTTATAAAAACGATCCAAGAACCTTGAATAAAACTTTATTCTTGTGGAAATGTTTTTATGACAAAATTATTTTTTTGTCATTATTTACAGTTTGCTGAACTCCATGAAAGACTCAAGATGTCAGCTTTCGAAAGAGATTTAGGTTTCTTTGTCGTTAATCATAGAAATGACTCAGTAAATTTAAGGTAAATAAATTACATTTCAAAACAATATAAGTGTATATTCTATAAGTGTATAAGTGTGTGTGTTCTATAAGTGTATATTGTGTGTGGAGTTCTAGATTAAAAATGTGATTAGTTGTAAGTTGCTTAGTTTTTGCTTTAATTTGGGATTAAGTTTCTGTGATAACTGTAATATGAATGGTTTAACTCCCAACATTCAAATCTTTGTTTTATTGGCAAATTTGGTTAAAGACAAGACATCTGCCCTACTCGGTTGTATAGTGTAAAATTTCAAAATGAATTTAAAGTCTTGAGGTGAAAGACATTTGCCACCGAGAGTGTAAATGATCACTACTATTTATATTTTATTTAATACTGGAAAATTAAAATCGAGACAAACTTTGAAAATTTTAGATTCACCCAAACTAAAGAAGTTAATACATTTTGACTTTTGGAGGAACACTTACCATATTGGAAATAAGCCCTGCTCAGTAATCATAGCACAACACTCACTGTAACATAAACCCACACTACTCGAAACTTCTGATCTTGACACTGAATGTCTAGTGGTCACCTCCCAGAGCTCGTTCTCCTCTCATGGTGGGGCGGGAAGTATCCATAAGATGGTGGCACCTGATGGACTCTACAACAGATCTCAGATTTACTTATCTCGCAGGAAATATGAAATTCACTGTCTCAGGTTTTCATTACCCTCAAAGGCCCTAAATAGCTGCAGGTCCACAGTAGGTATCTACGATGTTTTCATTTAGCGGAATGTACACACATAAAAGTGGCTTTTCTAAAATCTATACCTATAAAAGGCAAAGTCCTCACTGACTGACAGACTGACTTACTCATTACTAATTATTCTCTTACATCCCATTTATCTAGGAGACTGAAATTTGGTACACTGATTCTTTAGGTATTAAATAGGAAAACTAAGTAGGTAGTTATTATTCAGATCTGACTTTCGGGCTCCGCCCCAGTGGCTCTGGAGTTTTCCATGTTGGGATTGAGCATTGCTCAGGGTGTTTAATTTGTTTCAGATGTAAACAAAATAAACATAGACCTATATATATACAATTTCCATGATATGATAAAATACAGTCTAAAATATGTAACAACATGATATAATGCTCAAGTACAGTATTGGTGCTTTTTACCCAAATCTAGTTCTCTTTTCCCAAAATATTTTCTCGGTTTAAACTTGGTTCAAGTTAGCCCTCTGGGTGAAGCCGTTTAACTGCGGATCCATGGGCTAAACCAGGAGGAAAAAAAATAGCTTGACTTTGATCGTCCGACTATTGTTACGTTCAGCAATGGCTGGCACTGGCAAATATCCTTGTTTGGCATTTGTTCAACATACTTAACCTAAAATAAATTGAACCGGAACTAATTAATTAAGAAATAGCAAACACGAACCTAAGTAGATAATTCGTGACTAATGCAAATTCAAGGATATAAGGCGAGAGTTATCATGTTTTTTAAGTTGTTTAAATGTGTAGTGTAGGCCTAAATTATTGTTTTTAATAGGTAGTATTGTAGATGTATACAAGCGATAGGCTACCTTTCCACAGTAACAGTAGTAGGAAAGTTTGGTTATAAGTAGCCTATTGATTTTATTTTATTTTAACAGGTTCTTACATAAAAAAATAGTAAATCTATATAAGTAGGCATTTAGGCCTAAATCCACTAACCTATTATTATGTGTAATTAACAACTGTAATTGGAATAAATTTTATTTGAGAAAGATTGATTAATCGAGCCTAATGATGAGTACCTAGCATTAAAATGCTTGCTTGTAGTTTAAGAAAATGAGATAAAAACTTAGGTCCTAACTTATAATTTTGTCATATATTTCAAACGCAATAAAGACTGACAAACGTCTTGGGAATAGTTTAAGATTATGAAATCTTGTGAAACAATAGCCTACAGTAAAAGAGTTAAGCAATGTAACCTCCTTTCAGAGTGCTTAATTATTTGTGACTTTGCCAATTTCCTGATTAAAATAACAACTAGTACTGTAATAAATTATAGTCCAACAAGTAGGACTTTTGGCCATTGCTGAAAACACCTGTTGACCGACTGCGATTGTGGTTTCCTGAACCAACTGGACCCAATTCATTTGAGGAGAATGTGTACTGTCGGAATTCCGGGCCATGACGTCGACTGCGGCACTAGCATTCGCGTCGTTCAACTGACGATCACCCGGAAGAGGAGTCACTCTCGGCGTTGATTCACCCTCATCTGATGCTGTGTTGACGTTAGGGTGTTATGGCAATTCAGGGGCCTGAGAAGTACTCAAAAGTGTTGATGATTTCTCATCCGTTTGAGCACAGAAAACGTACTACTATAACCCAGAATGCCAACCGCATGGTAAAAAGCATTAAGCGTTTTGAGAGAGCTTTGCCTGTCAATCCGTAGGCAGCGCCACCAGCGTTGCCATGCAATAGCATAGTGGTTAGCATTCTGGGTTATAGTAGTACGTTTTCTGTGGTTTGAGTTGGAAAGACGCGTGTTGGACAGGTCAAATCCGGCCTGGCATTGATGGGCAAGAGATCGGGTCCGCTGTTCAGCTGAAGTTTCTTTAAAAATTTGCTTAACAATGTTCTATTTACTGACAAGGTCGGCGAGGGCGTGATTCCTAACACGTGGCACTGACTGGTCGCATCCTGAGCATTTAGTGAGCAAACCCAAGAAGTGCCTGTGGAAACTCGTCGGGTGAATAAATCCGGGAAGGCATTTTCTTTAGAAAATTTGGAAAACAAGAAAGCTGAGAAGAAAAAAAATAATCTATAACCACAAAACACCTACTGCCTAAAGTTTTCCCTACTCTAGATTGCTTGTTTGACTATTAAAAATTCGCACAAAAAGGGGAAACCTAGGTACGCTACCGAACTAAGAAAACAAGGAATTTTTTAACCCTACAAATTTCAAAACTTTTTTTTCTGTTTTGAAAATTGCCTGTCATGATTTGGCTTGGAAAAAAAATTTGTCGCTGAGGCTATTCTCTGGAGCATACAGTAACTAGACTGAATACCAAAAGGCGTAAATTGAGGTGGCGTTTCAAGATTCTATCTTGTTCTGATCGATACTAACTAACCAGCCATTTACAGTTTTTTAATAGGAGCCAATACTATAGTGAATTTGAGATTATAACCTATCAGGTAATTTTGGAAATATGTAGTTAGCAATATAAAAAGCACAAGTACAGTTTATAGATTTACTAGCTGGCCCGACAGACGTCGTTCTGTCCTAATGTGGTTGTATGTCAAATGCTCGTTCAATTTCAAGATGAGCTCGTTCGCATGGCTCAATCACGTCCTGGTTGAAGTTCGTTCGCTAAGCTCACTCACCTTTAGGTTGGAGCTCGTTCGCTGCGCTCACTTGCCTTCAGGTTAGCTCGTTCGCTATGCTAACTCGCCTCCAGGTTGAAGTTCGTTTGCTACGCTCACTCACCTTTTGGTTGCAAATTAGCTGTTGTCATAAATTAAAAAAAATAATAGTGCTGCACCCTGTTGGTAAACCTATTAACTGTTTAATGCTATTGAACATCACAGAATCAAATTGTTTATTTGAACCAGCGGTTAAGATACTCTAATTCCATTTAAATATGAGTACTCATAAGGTTAGGTTAACATGGGAAACTCCAGAGCTACTGGGCGGAGCGCTTTTGACGGATCTCCACCAAACTCCACACAAACCATCCTTGAATAATGCTTAATAATGCCAGAAAGTTTCATTACAATCTGTCGATCGGTTTCGGAGTCCATAAAGGACAAACAAGCAAACAAAAAAACATACATTGGATTTTATATATATAGATAGATTAAATCTGGGAACGGCAATACCAGTATTAAGCGCATACTGGGTGAAATGGTTGTGGTTGGTGTTAGAAAAAATGTCAGCTTTATTGTTAATCGGGAATGTGAGCTATCATCACACCAAATTTCAGCCCAATCCGACCAGTATTTTTTGCGTTCACTAGTCACAAACATCCATCAATACATCCAAACTTTCTCACTTATAATATTAGTAGGATATCTGCGGGTCTACTATAGTGGTTTTCAATTTGAACTGGTTTTTTATGTTTTAGGTGGTGTAAGTACAACACTATAATGCTTCAAACAAAACACAAGTTGTCACATCTGCAGGATTGGATTCAAGAGATGATCAAGTACAAGCGTGAGACGGCTGTGCTGCATGAGTATGTCAAGTGGAATGTGCCCAAGTTTCCTGTCAATGGTGGCATGTTGCAGGAGAGAGGAATACCAAGTAATACATTATTTTGTAGCATAGATGTCTTGACAGAATGGTGAAGATGGCAACATGGTTGCAATCTGTTATCAAAATATATTTTGCAAATAAAGAATTGCTTGATTTACTATGACGTATAGACTTGAAGCACAATATTGAACTATCATACGACTTAAAGTATGCTTACTTGTTTTGTTTCTAGTTTAGTTTAATTAAAGCAGTTTTACCTATCCTTATTTCTGCTTCTTACCTAAAGCATTAAGTATAAAATATTATAGAATACGTTGTTTTTCTCTATAATCAAATCAATTGACTGTTTCAGTGGACCGTAACACAAACCACATTATCAACAAATTGAAAGAGTTCTGGGTTGAAAATGACTGTGCCATTGATTCTGAAAAGATCCTAGAACATGTTCCAGTGGTTTTGGAAGAAATTAAGAACTCACCTCCAAATACATCACCAAAGTTCAATCGAAAGAAGAAAAAGAATGTCTAAATAAAGTTTGTTTCTATCAAAGCATTTTGTACAGATATTTTCATTACCTATTTACGTTACCTTCTGTCATGGTAAACCTCAATAACACGTTTAGTGCGGCATACATTCAAACAGGCGCTTGCCAATAGCGGCGAGGCCCCGGGCGAAGCCCCTGCGCGCTTCCCAATCAGCAAGCGCAATTGGCATTCAAATATATCAGTCTGACGAATAACAAAAGAGCAGCGGTAATTTTGCTGCATTACCCCGAGAGTGGACGTAGTTAACTGAAACACCCAAAAATAGCAGCACTGCCTGGATCCGAAGCCAGTGTCTTTGTAATGTGGCTCGAAGAGAGAAAATCCCCAAAACCGGGACAAAAGCATTGCCAGACCCAGACGGAATTTTACGGGAAATTTTAGTACCAACCTACACCAAAATAAATCTTGCATTCTAAGCTACAGGCTGGCAACAGTTTTAACGTTCCCCGGCAATGGCTAAGCTCATACTGAAATAATGTAGTGGCAGTGGCGCGACTACATCTATAGATGTAGGACGATAGGAGCGCTCGGGACGCATTACATCAATAGATGCACTGAACGTGTTAAACAACTTTATGCCAAAACATTGTATTGTACAACAGTTTCGCAGTAATTCAAATCCAAAACTGTGGCACTAAGACACTGTCAGATATAGAAAAAATATATACCGTATACGGAATGGGAAAAAAGTCCTGGGACGGTTAAATATTTCAAAAAGTAATAAAGATAGAGCTTCAAAACTTGGTACCGGTACACAGATACTGGGCATTAAAATAATTTAAACACATTATTCAGTGATGCGCTACCTCCTCAGGGGGATGGCCTGCTAGGAGTAGAAGAAAATCTTAAATGTAAGCATAGGTTGATATGCACATCAAATTTAAGGTTTTTGTTTGATAAAATACAATGCTGCAAACCCGAACTCAAACAAACAACCAAATAAAAAATGAAAGCTATTCAAAGATGCATTGAATTCGCATTGCTATTATATACGTTACCTCCTCAGGGAGGCCCGCTAGAAGTCGGAAGAAATTCATAAACGTATGCATAGGTTGATATGCACATCAAGTTAATGGTCTTAGTTTGAGCTCAAAACATCTGAGTAAAAAATAGCAGCCATTCAAAGATTCAAAATGACAGATTCAAGATATCTTTGAGCGGCTGCCATTTTTGACTCAGTTGTCCGTTTGAGTTCAAATTTGCGACATTGTATTCCACTAGTGTAAAGGCCTTTAATTTGTAAAGGCCTTTTTTAAGATTTTCTTCTGACTCCTAGCGGTCCGTCTCCCTGAAGAGGTAGCGCATCACTGAATAATGTGTTAAAATGATTTTTCGTCATACTGCAGAAAAAACAGCTGTTTTTAATGCATGCGGGGCTAAAGTTGCATTTTTACTCTCTAGGGAGTAAAAATCTGCTGTTGTAAAATGTTGTACATTTCAATTGTGGCAATCGTATCGATCAAAATTATTTATCGATTAGTTTATTAGGTAAGGTGTTAGCCTATTGTTATTGATTGCTCAATATATCGATCGTATGATGTACAATCGTAATAGACAAAATGATTGAATCAATTACTAAACAGCTGCTTATTTGCATTAGCAGAATTGAAACAAGTTGGAAGTTGTTTTGAGAGGTTATATTTATATTTACATAAAAATTATTTCGTTTCCTAGCTTAGTTTGTTATAATAATGATGCAATATGACGAAAAATATAGTTCACCACACGGGTAAAAAGTGTCTTCATCCCTCGCTCATTTTCCACCTCGGGTAAAAAAGAGTCTCTTTAGGCCCTAGTGATGAAATATACTATTAATGCCTATTAGCTGTTCACCAAGTTTTAAAGCTCTACCTTTATTACTTTTTAAAATATATTCTAAATTTAACTGTTCCAGGACTTTTTTTCCAACCTGTAGCGAGGCTATATATATTTATTTAGCATTTAGCATTGTTTGATGAGTAATAATAAATAAGTGTAAAAACAATAATGTCTATTGCATGTCAGTCATGACCACGCAACTACCCGTGCCGCGTCGTAGTGTCCTGTACTGGCCAGTAGCAATGTTATTCCGTATTTTCGTGTTTCGTGTTGTATGTGTGTGTTTTTGTGTTTACCGACGACCTCAACTTGAGTGACATGACATTTTTATCAGCCTGATGATGGGATTTTAATCCTGAAACCGGTCGCATAAGACGACAACAATAGGATCACTGACGGACAGGTAATATAAACCATTTTATTCTATAAGTGATCCTGGGCCACTATTCACTAAGCATAATAAAATATATTTATTATAAAAATTTGACAATATTTTATTACGTGCATTTATAACAAAGTATAATCATGATAAAGTTCATTAACCTACTACTACTATCACCCTGGGAATTAATTCTTCCCACTAGCAACGTTTTCAGCTAGTGCAAGTAAGCTGGTATCAAGAAATAAGTCCATATGTTTTATGTGTAAATGTATTACGCCTCGGAAGGGTTGAAACCTGTCCAAACTATCATATATTATTAAAACGTAAATGGGGTTTTTTCACATTCTGAATCAACCAGTCGACGGATTTTCATTATTTTTGTGTTGAAAGAAAGATAATTTTGAGAACTAGGGAATGTCAAAGCCATAATTATAATTAAGGGTCCCAGTTTTTTTAGAAATTAAGTTTTAATTTTTAAAAAGTCTAGCAGCCGACGCTAACCTTCTAAGCTAGCTTTTAGTAGAATATAATTTGCTTAACATAACAGCTGTAAACATTCAGCATTTGTGACACAAATTCAGCATTTGGAAACAAATTTTAAGACATATAGAGTTGACTTATTTATACTATGTGTAATGCTGACCATTGATACATTCAATTCTTAGGTATGAGGATGGCAGATTAATTAAATATGCATAGTAAAACAATAGGATGTTCAAATTATTTTTTAAAGGAATCTTTGTAATCATTGATTTGTTTTAGTCCCATATAATTTGTTTTAACTAACAGCTGGTTGAATGTAATATTGTTCTATATAGCCTAACTATTAGGTTTTTGGCGAATTTCCCATAAAGGGAATAAGCTATTACCGTAGTACTTATGGTAACACCTGGACCCGGGACCGATTTAATTTTTTGTTTTGAGGTCCCTAGAGGCCAAAAACACCATCCGTTCAAATTCATATATACAGGGTGATCAACTCAAGGAGGCCACCATTGGGAAATCGGAAACGGTAAGAATTAGAGAAAACTTTAAATGGGGGACATTCCTTTATTTTTTGTGGCAGTTAAAAATATGATTTTAGTTTTTTATCATGTTTTCGGATAGAATATGCAATTTAAAAACTTTTTTAGCCTTGACATTCTTTCGATAAACCCACTCGTTTAGGAGTTACAGCCTATGGAAAAATGACTTCCGGTGTACATTTTACATCATGTAGCTCCTAAACGAGTAAGTTTAGAGCAAAATTGCAAGAAGTAAATTAGTCTTAGAATTGCATCTACATTCCTTAAAGACTATAAAATAAAAAGTTTTCCACTTTTCAAGTTTGCCACCATTTTTTAAATAATATAATTCATATTTTTAATGAATTTTATGGTCTTTTTGGAATGTGGATGCAATTGTAAGACTTTTTTACTCTTCGCTTTTTTGCTATAAACTTACTTGTTTAGGAGCTACATGATGTAAAATGTACACCGGAAGTCATTTTTCCATAGGCTGTAACTCCTAAACGAGTGGGTTTATCGAAAGAATGTCAAGGCTAAAAAAGTTTTTAGCGAATTTTAATTGCCTATTCTATCCGAAAACATAATAAAAAACTAAAATCATATTTTTAACTGCCACAAAAAATAAAGGAATGTCCCCCATTTAAAGTTTTCTCTAATTCTTACCGTTTCCGATTTCCCAATGGTGGCCTCCTTGAGTTGATCACCCTGTATATATGAATTTGAACGGATGGTGTTCCATAAGAAATTTCAAATATGGCCGCCATTTTGGAAAATGGCGGCTGAGTAAAAAAAAAAACTAAAATCATATTTTTAACTGCCACAAAAATAAAGGAATGTCCCCCATTTTAAGTTTTTTCTAATTCTTACCGTTTCCGATATCCCAATGGTGGCCTCCTTGAGTTTATCACCCTGTATAGCCTATATTTATTTATTTATATATTTTTCCCGGGGGGAACCCTAGGACCCCCCTCCTTTTTGGAGGGTATTCCATACCCCCCAGGCCCCCGGTGACCCCCCCAAAATATATGTCTTGGACCGCCCTTGTCTTCTTTACCTATAAAACACATGGGATACAGTCTTTCTTCACTGATCACGTAATGCGTGATTTTCTATAAAGTCTTAGTAAAATAGATAGAATACAGGTGTACTGTATGTGGTTTACACACAAATATTCATCAAACTGTGTGATATTTTGTTATTGCAATGAACAATTTGGGAGTATCGTATTGTTTAAGTCGATGGAAAATCTCTGTTGATCCTGTTTTACAAGCAAACCAAAAAGATACAGTAGTCACCACTCTATGCGACATATTCTAACCAGAAAATTGTAATCGTATGATTCTACAAGCATTGGTAGGATTGCAAAGTACTACACAAACATTATTTCAAGGGTAATAACAGTTACAATTTCCGCTGACTTTAAAAGAGTCAACTAAAATATTATACTAATGGACACACAACTAAATGGAACAACTAATGGAAATACTCACGATGTACATATAACAGTTCGATATAAGCATTGAGGATACATGTCAGTAGATACGTGTATACCCAATGATATAAGCAACGGTTCTTGCAATTTATTGCTTATTGTTTTTTAGAGTTGTTTTCGGACTTAGACTCTGTTTTCGGACTTACTCACACTCGTATAAGGTTGTCCACGTTTGTCATTGATAATGTAGCCATGTTACACCCGTTGTCACGAATATGTTTACAAGTTTTCCGTCTGTTTTTGAATAGCGATATATTTTTTCACATACTTAAGAACCACCTGATTTTGTGCATTACATGTTCGTCTCAATTTGATTTGCTTTAGTAGGCATTCTTTTGGTTGATGAGGACTTCAATAGGTCCTTTCAATGATTGCTCATGAAATATAGTACTTTGTCCAATAATTTTTATTGTTTGGTAAGATGGATTAAATTATCCTCCAGCAAACCCAAATCGAAATAGTAAATATAGTATTTCAAACAAATCAGTAACATGTTAATAATGTAGCCTACATTATTTCCTTGAATTGCATAACAGCAATTAATTGAGCTGATCCTAATATAAATAAATCAATATGTTCTGCATAGGCATAACATGGGTTCTTTAAGAGCCACTGGGGCTGAGCCCAAGGGATTTAAAAAACGTAAGGTTGGTTTGCAAATAAACGTGATACGCTCTTTCTAATGAGACATGAATGGTCAAAATCGCCTAAGAAATGCGGAGGAGTTCAACGGAAAAATTTCGTGTTGGCGTTATACGTATGGTTGAAAAGTCCTGGATTGGCTATATTTTTTTAACAATAGCCTATAGATAAAGTAGTGAGACTTGGTATATCAATAATTATAGATAAAGACAGTAGATATTTATGGCTATTATTGATACTTCCGGTGTACATTTTACATCATGTAGCTCCTAAACAAGTAAGTTTATAGCAAAAAAGCGAAGAGTAAAAAAGTCTTACAATTGCATCCACATTCCAAAAAGACCATAAAATTCATTAAAAATATATATTTTTTTTTTTAACAAGTATTTATTTACAATCTATTCTATACTAGAATAATAAGTAAATTTAATAACAATTTTAACATGGGTTAGTTACATTCCATCAAGTGCACTAACATACAAAAACTTTTAAAAAGTTCAACTAAAAACGATTTGGAAGGTCTATTGGATTAACTCTTTTGAGCCTATATGTAGCTTCACTATTGTCGAGGAGGTTAACTGCCAGGAAATTTGGATGGGTTTCTAATTTTCTTTGGTATTTTTCACTTTGTTTCTTTATTTCTTCTTTAACATAGGGTAATTTTGTATCTTGATGAATTACTTTATTTGTGACAAACCAAGGTGCTTGTAAAATTTTTCTCAGTGTTTTCGATTGAAACCTTTGAACTATTTCTATGTTTGAGTTGGAAGTGGTTCCCCAGAGTTGGATACCGTAGGTCCAAATAGGTTTCAATATAATTTTGTATAAAAGTAATTTATTTTCAACAGATAATTTTGAATTTCGACCAATGAGCCAATTTAGTTTGTTTGTTTTTAAATTTAAATGAAGTCGTTTGTTCCAAATGTGTGAATGCCATGTAAGCCGTCTGTCGAGATGCATAACAAGGTACTTGAATTATATTATTTAAAAAATGGCGGCAAACTTGAAAAGTGGAAAACTTTTTATTTTATAGTCTTTAAGGAATGTAGATGCAATTCTAAGACTAATTTACTTCTTGCAATTTTGCTCTAAACTTACTCGTTTAGGAGCTACATGATGTAAAATGTACACCGGAAGTCATTTTTCCATAGGCTGTGTCCTAAACGAATGGGTTTATCGAAAAAATGTCAAGGCTAAAAAAGTTTTTAAATTGCATATTCTATCCGAAAACATGATAAAAAAACTAAAATCATATTTTTACCTGCCACAAAAAATAAAGGAATGTCCCCCATTTAAAGTTTTCTCTAATTCTTACCGTTTCCGATTTCCCAATGGTGGCCTCCTTGAGTTGATCACCCTGTATATATGAATTTGAACGGATGGTGTTTTTGGCCTCTAGGGACCTCAAAACGAAAAATCACTCCAATCAAGAACAAAAAGAAGCAATAGCAAACTCAAAACCTTCGAAACTGACAGCTGTAACTCCTGGCCATTTTCTTATCAACTCTTCTCTGACAACTGTTCCTGACCCAACAAAGATCTCACCTCTTATTGATAATTTACCTCAAAACATCACCCAAAGCCTATGCTGCCGTTGGAGTCAAGAATATTTTAAGACCCCTCATCAGCGTTGTTTCAAGTGGAACCTCAAGAAAGAAAACCTCAATGTAGACCCTGTTTGCTAAAACATACCAGCTCCTCCTAGCTACAGACCAGCTGGATCCTCATTTAAGACCATCATTCAAGTGTCTTCAAAGCATCAAGCTGCATTCTTTAAATAATTTTACAACCCACTCTGGTCAATTCTCATAACGATTTTATATTTTTTCAATTTCTCTTTTGTTGAACCTTGTTGGTTCAAAGGGGGCGGTATGTTCAGTCAAGTTGCCTTTGTTTTTTGTATTAATTTTATATGTCTTTGTTTTTAACAGTCCATCTGTAATTCCCATCACATTACCATATGTCAATTCGCATTGTTCATTCATTCGTCTCGAATCACCGCTCATAACATCACGTATTCATTTTTCTCGTAATAAATTATCCTCTTTATACCAAAACCCTCGACTTTTTCCTCTTTATTATAAATTACACCGCACAAATGTTATATTACAAAACATGACATGATGCAGAAGAAAATCTATGTTAAAATCTAAAAAATCCATTGCTAATACTGTATATCATTTTGACAAATTCAGTAACTACCTATATAATATGTGTTGTTTAAAATAAAATACAATTTAAATATAAACAGCTGTTTCATTAAAAAGTAGTGACAAATTATCCATATGACCTGAGCGTAGTGAACGAACTTCAACCTGGAGGCGAGTTAGCGTAGCGAACGAACTTCAACCAGGACGTGATTGAGCCATGCGGACGAGCTCATCTTGAAAATGAACGAGCATATGACATAAAACCACATTAGGACAGGAAGACGTCTGTCGGGCCAGCTAGTAATCAATAAAACATTAGGTTAAAGAAAGAATGTGTGAGAGGAAGGAAAAAAGTGTTTACCTACAACTTTTTTCAAATAGCCTTTTCAATTCAGTTTTTATAATTGATCTACTCTTTATTATAGGTTCATAAACGGAACAACTTGAATGCTGACTTTCAGGATTAGATATTTTAACTATGGATTGTATGCAGTTGCAGTTGTTGTTCAAGCATTTTTAATTAATGTAATTCTTTTTTTTTTTCAGAAGTAGCTGTTACAAGCAAAATAACAAAGTATCTTTAGAAGCTTAATAAAATGGTAACCACACATTTTTTTATTACTGGCCCTCCAGGTATATAATTTTGAATTCTGCACTTATATTTTATTACATTTGTGTAAGATTTAACTGCTTGAATGAAAAATTAATTACATAATTGTATAATGTAAATACATAAAATTACGATACAAATAAGTAAATAACCAGGGTAATGTAATCAATCATGAGTGCATTATCTAGCACATGTCACAATTTTTCTAACACTGACATAACATAGAACAATATTATATGTTTGACAACAAACTTGTATTATAATGTGGATTACAACATTTGCTACTATAGTTTAGTAATGAACAAATGCTTTTCACCACACTACGATGTTTTTAGTTGTTTTACAAACGTTTATTGGAGGCTGAAAGCAACATATTGCTGTCGATGCCAGCTGCAATCAACATTTGGGGACTGAGCATGTTTTACCTCCCTCGGGCCAAAAATCAGTTGTTCGCTTATTTTCTTAAAACATTAATGCATTTTAAATACAAATCAGTATCCACAGAATTGCAATAGCCAGTTAGCGCCTCGTTTTCCTCTTCCAGGAACTGATGATAACCTCTTTAGAGAGTGGGGGGTGACGTCACTCTTCTCTTAAGGGAACACCATTACCGTAGAAAGACTATATGATTCCATCGGTGTTCGTGGTGTAGTTGATAGCGTCTCGGACTGGTGATCTGGAGGTCTCCAGTTCGAATCCCGCCGGCGAACACTAACTTTTTGTCCAAGATTTTGCTTAGAATGCGAATACTTCTTAACTGTACATCTTTTGTTAGAATTTGAGGCATTTATAATTTTTTTTATGAACAGAACTATTTTTTAAAATTAGTAAACCTTCATTCCATTTTTATCTTATATATTTTTTATATTATCAGCAAGTTTGGTTGGTTCTGTTAGGTTATGACAGTTTCTTTTTATAATAAAAAATTTAAAAATTAATTTTATAATAAAAAATTATAAGTAAACCTTCATTTGATTTTCATCTGATATCTTTTTATATTATCAGCAAGTTTGGTTGGTTAGGTTAGGTTATGACAGTTTTTTTATAATTAAAAATTGTAAAATTAATTTTATAATTAAAAAATTATAGGCCTAAAAAAAATTTTAAGATTTTCTTAAATCGACTTGAGGGGCACTCCCACAATCCCCCACTCCTTTGCAGAAAAGGTTCTCATCAGTTCCTGGAAGATGAAAATGAGACGCTAGTGTTTTAATGCCACCGCTGTCTAGCAACTATTTATTACATTAAAATATTTCTTCACAATAATTTTTAAGCTGTAGTTGTGTTGACTGTTAGTGTCAGTTATTATTCTGGTGAATAGTGGTAACCGGGTATAGTGTGGTGAAAAATAGTGTTCGTATCACGGTCCGAAATGGTTTTGCAGCTCTCGATCGTTTTAAGTACTCAAACTCAAAAACTATCTCGAGCCAACAAAACCTAATTTTCGGCCCTAGGAACAAAATATACTATTAGAATTCATTTGTATAAAAACTTATAAAAAGCTGAGATAATTTGCTTGACAAATTACTTTGTTTCCAGGCCACATGAATGTGTTATTATTTTAGATCTTGAAACATCGTAAAAACTTTGTTCTACTAATTATGATAAAAAAAATTCTGCACTTAACTCTTAAATAATGTAAACTTGCCATCACCAAATATGATTTTTTTTTCTAGGACGCTAGGCACGTACGAGCCCGGAATTGTTTTTCACATTACTTCAGGCTAGACCTAGGGGTTACGGCAATATCACTTAGATAAAATCCATTGGTGATTTGGCGGGGTTTGAACCCTGGACCCCAGGAACCGGAGTCCCGCGCTCTAACCACTAGACCAGCTCGCTCCCCCAAATATGAACTTTAAACAAATTACTACTGTCTCGGTTATTTGTAATGAACAGCATGTTAATCTTAGAAGAGGTAATGAGCTAGTTTAATAGTTAAGTTCAATATTAACTTTTGTAATAGTTTCATTTACCCGGGTTCGATCCCCGCCAAGTCGCCAATGGATTTTATCCAAGTGATAATGCCGCAACTCCTAGGTCTAGCCTGAAGTAATGTGAAAAACAATCCCAGGCTCGTGCCTAGCGTCCTAGGGCAAAAAAAAAAAATAGTATCATTCAACTCAGTTCTACTTGATAAATCAATTTTTAACCTCCGAGCATAACCCCATATCAAATTGATATAGCCTACAGATCTTTGAATGTAAAGATAGCCTACTGTCTCGTATTTCTTCAAAACAAACCCTGAAGTACAGGGTGGGGCAGGGAAATATCCCTACTTTTAAGATGGCACTGTGAGTAGTGGGGGTGTGCTGGAGGAATGGGGTTAGGCTCAAATGAAGCTTTTGTTTTGGGAATTTTTAAGAATATCACTTTCAGTAGTAGGCATGGCTTGTTCGAGTGAGCAATATGCTTTTGCACTCGAGATGTATTTTTTTTTCAAAAATCTGTCTATTGTTGCTGTGCAGCTACCATTGGCTGTCGGGTTATCGGGTGGCCTGTCGCAAAGCTGTTACAATTTGGTGTGGGTGAATTACTTTCGTGTATTTGGTGGTGTATTGCGAAGGATATTTGGAGCTCAAAGAACCGTCCGGAGTCCTGAAAACATTGACCTTGTCAGAAGATCGATTTAGCAGTCTCCTCAAAGTTCTGGTTGTAAGCATGCATCCGGGCTGGCGTTTTCTAGTCATACTGTGCCTCGTATTCTCCATGGGGACCTACACCTCCATCTATACAAGAGGGTAGTTGCTCATGAACTCACACAACGGGACTGGCAACAAACGAATGCAGGCATGTGAAATCTTAATTGCGGGACTACTTCATGCTGCTCAGTTTTTGTTTAGTGACGAGGCACACTTCCATATTTCTGGAGCGGTAAATAAGCATGATGTGCTCTATTGGAGTGATGCTAAGCCTAGGGTAGTTCAAGGGAAGACCCTAGATGCCTTAAAGGATGCAATTCACCTTGAATTTTGCCGCATTCCACAACAAATGCTTCACAAAGTTATTATGAACTCCAGAACCAGAATATAGCAATGCATTTAAGATTAGTGACACCACTTGCAGCATATGCTGTTTAAAACCAAGTTAAGTTATATTAAAATAAACTCCCAGACGTGACCTTTTAATCTCAATAAAAAGTTTGGTTCTAACATTTTTGGTTGTCTTTAAATGTACCTTCATAATTAGGGATACTTCCCTGCCCCACCCTGTACAACAGTTACCTAGTATTTCACTAGTAATTACCTTTTCATTCTCAACTTTGTTCCCCAATTGGTTCTGAATACAAATTGATAAGAATTATTTATGATTTTAGCGAATTTCCCATATAGGGAATAAGCTATTACCGTAGTACTCATGATAAGACCTGGGCCCGGGACCGATTTACTTTTTCGTTTTGAAGTCCCCAGAGGCCAAAAACACCTTCCGTTCAAATTCATATATATATATATTTATATATATATATGTGTCTGTTATTAGCACGATAAATTGAGCAAAAATGATCCGATTTTGATGAAATTATGTAGTAACGTGCAAACCTACATGTATTCAAACAAGTTCGCGAACCAGCATGATCGGACTATGGGTACAGGGGTTTATGGGGGGTTTTATAGGGTAAAAATTGGTTTTTCCCATTTTTACTCTCAAAGAATAAAATTTCACAATTTCTTTCCAGACCATTTTGTAGAGCTTAAAAAATAAATAATTTTTTATATTGAAGCGTTGTTGTATGCCTAACGGTTACGGAGATAATTAAAAAAACATTAAATTTAAAATTCCCATATTATTCTTATAGAGAATAAATACACTTTTGTAGTTTGCTTGTTTATGGATATGTTTTAATCAAATTTGGCAATTTTGTTTATTTTATACTAAGCTATCGACATTTCAATAAAAAACACACCCCACTACCTTCCCTGTAGCAGCAAACCTAGGTACTCATTAAAATTAATGTTATTTAAATCTTTATCTATAAAAGAGGAACTATGTATGTGTGTATATAAATATATATATATATGTATATACGTTATGGACTCCGAAACCGCTCGACAGATTGTAATGAAACTTTCAGGCATTATTAAGCATCTTTCAAGGATGGTTCGAGTGAAGCTTGGTTATGATCTGTCAAAAGGGCTCTACCCCAGAGGGTTTTAAGTGGGCCAATGTCAGACTTTTTGATCTACAATGTTTACAAATAAATATAATTTAAAAGCAGATGTTTACTTTCACCAACTGTTTTGTAGGTTTGACACTGAGCTGTAATATTGAAGACTGCATGTCAAAGATGCGTGTCGCCAGCCGCCATGTTTGCGTGAGGTGTGAGGTATAAGAACCCATGTTATTGGATAAGAAAACTCACTGCTATACCAACCTAGTTATAGAAGCCATGTTATTGCTATGATAAGAAAACTCACTGCTATACCAACCTAACAAAATCAGTGACACGCTTTTGACAGACTTCTGCCATGGCATTGCTACCTCCAGTTATAATTTTAGCTCAGTGAGGTTTGAATAATTACAACATTCTGTATTAGCATTAGTCATGATTTGAAGTAGTGCCACAGTGTTTCTACAGAGTGCAGCACAGAAAACTATTTTACTTTTGAATAAGTCCAAATGTATTAAACCCCAATCGCAGCACACCTGTGCACTTAACAACGTTTAAATACTCCAATGTTAAATATTAAAACATAAAAAACCTTTATCAAAGTATTATAAACAATAAAAGGGATGACTTTTTAAAATTTATGACATCAGCTAATTTTGCAACCAAAAGGTGAGTGAGCGTAGCGAACGAACATCAACCTGGAGGCGAGTTAGCGTAGCGAACGAGCTAACCTGAAAACAAGTGAGCACAGCGAACGAGCTCCAACCTAAAGGTGAGTGAGCGTAGCGAGCAAACTTCAACCGGGACGTGATTGAGCCATGCGATTACTTATGAAGTTAAACGGGGCAAAGCCCGTGGGTACAGCTAGTAGGAAATAAATCTGACAATTTTCAGGGTATATTTTAGTAGAAATCCAGCCAGGTAAATGGAAATTCGCTTAGTCTGCAGGTTTGCTGCGTCGGGGGTATTATTTAGTTGTTTTAGTAACTCATCTAACTTACTATACCTGATTTTAGGAATTGGAAAAACAACATTAGTAAAGAAGGTGTGTACATCTTTAAAGAAACAAAAAATCCCATGCCATGGGTTCTACACTGAAGAGGTTAGGGTACAAGGAAGACGAACTGGGTTTGATGTTGTAACCCTGGATGATAAGAGAGCAGTTCTAGCCAGGACAGAGTAAGTTACCTAATGAGTTACAAATTTGATGTTGTAACCTTGGACGATAAGAGAGCAGTTCTAGCCAGGACAGAGAACAGAGTAAGTAACATAATGAGTAACAAGTTTAATGTTGTAACCTTGGACGATAAGAGAGCAGTTCTAGCCAGGGCAGAGGACAGAGTATAAGTAACATAATGAGTTACAAGTTTGATGTTGTAACCTTGGACGATAAGAGAGCAGTTCTAGCCAGGACAGAGTAAGTTACCTAATGAGTTTCAAATTTGATGTTTTAACCTTGGACAATAAGGCAGCAGTTCTAGCCAGGACAGAGGACAGAGTAAGTAACATAATGAGTTTCAAGTTTGATGTTGTAACCTTGGACGATAAGGGAGCAGTTCTAGCCAGGACAGAGTAAGTAACATAATGAGTAACAAGTTTAATGTTGTAACCTTGGACGATAAGAGAGCAGTTCTAGCCAGGGCAGAGGACAGAGTATAAGTAACATAATGAGTTACAAGTTTGATGTTGTAACCTTGGACGATAAGAGAGCAGTTCTAGCCAGGACAGAGTAAGTTGCCTAATGAGTTACAAGTTTGATGATGTAACCTTGGACGATAAGAGAACAGTTCTAGTCAGGACAGAGTAAGTTACAGAACGAGTAACAAAATTGATGGTGGAACCCTAGACTACAAGAAAGCAGTTCTAGTCAGGACAGAGTAAGCTACAGAACGAGCAACAAATTTGATGTTGTAACCCTGGACGATAAGAGAGCAGTTCTTGCTAGGACAGAGGACAGAGTAAGTAACATCATGAGTTACAAGTTTGATGTTGTAACCCTAGACGATAAGAGAACAGTACTAGTCAGGACAGAGTAAGTTACAGAATGAGTTACAAGTTAGTTTGATGTTGTAACCATGGACGATAAGAGAGCAGTTCTAGCCAGGACAGAGGACAGAGTAAGTTACATAATGAGTTACAAGTTAGTTTGATGTTGTAACCATGGACGATAAGAGAGCAGTTCTAGCCAGGGCAGAGGACAGAGTAAGTAACATAATGAGTTACAAGTTTGATGTTGTAGCCTTGGACGATAAGAGAGCAGTTCTAGCCAGGACAGAGGACAGAGTAAGTAACATAATGAGTTACAAGTTTGATGTTGTAACCTTGGACAATAAGACAGCAGTTCTAGCAAGGACAGAGGACAAAGTAACATAATGAGTTACAAGTTTTATGTTGTAACCTTGGACGATAAGAGAGCAGTTCTAGCAAGGACAGAGTAAGTTACCTAATGAGTTACAAGTATGATGTTGTAACCTTGGACGATGAGTGAACAGTACTAGTCAGGACAGAGTAAGTTACAGAATGAGTTACAAGTTTGATGCTGTAACCTTGGACGATAAGAGAGCAGTTCTAGCCAGGACAGAGGACAGAGTAAGTAACATAATGAGTTACAAGTTTGATGTTGTAACCTTGAACGATAAGAGAGCAGTTCTAGCCAGGACAGAGTAAGTTACCTAATGAGTTCCAAGTTTGATGTTGTAACCCTGGACGATAAGAGAACAGTTCTAGTCAGGACAGAGTAAGTTACAGAATGAGTAACAAATTTGATGGTGCAACCCTGGACGATAAGAGAGCAGTTCTATACTCAATTCCACGTTCACCGTGCAGTACAGGTCTTATGGAAGACAGCCTTACTACCTTTACTGTAAACTTTGTTTTCTGTCATGCGGGATGCGTCAACAGTCCTCGCGACTCTCGAGAAGGCGCTCAAGTTCATTTTAGCGAATTTCCCATATCGGGAATATTAGCGAATTTCCCATATAGGGAATAAGCTATTACCGTAGGTCTCATGGTAAGATCTGGACCTGGGACCGATTTACTTTTTTGTTTTGAGGTCTCCAGAGGCCAAAAACACCATCCGTTCAAATTCATATAGGTATATATATATATATGTATGTGTGTGTCCGTTAGCACGATAACTCGAACAAAAATTATCCGATTTTAATGAAATTTGGTATAAACATGTAAACCTACATTTATTCAAACGAGTTAGCAAACCAGCATGATTGGACCATGAGAATGGGGTTTTATGGGGTAAAAATGGGGGTTTCACATTTTTGACCTGAATAACATAAAATTTTGGAATTTATTTCCCAACCATTTTTTAGAGTAAAAAAAAAATAAATAATTTAGTATATTGAAGCATTGTTGTAAGCCTAATGGTTACAGAGAAAATAAGTGCAAATTAAAAATTCCCATGTTATTCTTATGGAGAAAAGGAAAACTGTTGTAGTTTACTTGTTTATCGATATATGTTGATCTATTTTGGCAAATTTATTTATTTCAAATCATACTTTTGACGTTTGGTCAAAAAACACTGTTTACCTTCCCAGTAGCAACAACCCTAAGCACTCGTTAAATCAATGTTATTGTTGTTAAAATCATACTAATATTATAAATGTGAAAGTTTGTGTGTTTGTTTGTTTATTTGTTTGTTGGTTTGTTTGTTTGTTTGTTTGAAGTTCAATCACGCATTAACTACTGGTCGGATTGTGTTGAAATTTGGTATGATGATAGCTCACATTTCCGATTAACATATAGACATATTCTTACCTCAAAAACCCTTTCGGGCTCCGCCCCAGTGGCTCTAGAGTTTCCCATGTTAACCTTATGAGTATTCATATTAATAGGAATTAAATAATTTTGCCAGCTGTTTCAACTACACAATTTGTTTCTATGATATTCAATAGCATTAAAAGGTTATATGGTTTACCAACAGGGTGCAGCACCATTAGTTCTTTAAACATTTATGACAACAGCTAATTTGAACCAAGCAGCAACAAAAACCTGAGTGTGAGAACTTTACTTCTTTCTATTGTTTAGGTGAAGTGGTAGAACATTATGGCTATGGTAGATATTCTATATACTATAGTATACCGTAGATTATAGTAAACCAAATTTTCTCAAAACATGTCCTCTCTCATTGCAAACGCAAAGCACGAGTAGGGCATATTTAACTACAATAAGCATTGTATACCAACCCCGTACGAAAGACGGGTACTCAGCTAGTATTTCCATAAATAAGACATATTTATTCCCTATTTAAATAATATTAGATTTAACGAGTGCTTAGGTTTGCTGCTACGGGGAAGGTAAATAGTGTTTTTGACCCTACGTCAATAGCATAGGATGAAATAAATAAATTTGCCAAATGTTATCAATATCTATACTTATAAAAGGCAAAGCCCTCACTGACTCACTAATTCTCCCACTTCCCATTTACCTAGGAGGCTGAAATTCGGTACACCGATTCTTTGGGCATTAAATAGGAAAACTAAGTAACAATAGCATTTAAGTTACAAGGATTACGAACAGGGTGCAGCACTATTATTTCTTTTACATTTTATGACAACAGCTAATTTGCAACCAAAAGGTGAGTGAGCGTAGCGAACGAACTTCAACCTGGAGGCGAGTTAGCGTAGCGAACGAGCTAACCTGAAGGCAAGTGAGGGCAGCGAACGAGCTTCAACCTAAAAGTGAGTGAGCGTAGCAAACGAACTTCAACCAGGAAGTGATTGAGCCTTGCGAACGAGCTCACTTATAAAGTTAAACGGGGCAAAGCCCGCGGGTACAGCTAGTCTATTATTATATACTGTATATAAAAGGCAAAGCCCTCACTGACTGACTCACTCACTCATCACTAATTCTCTTACTTCCCATTTACCTAGGAGGTTGAAATTTGGTACACTGATTCTTTAGGCATTAAATAGGAAAACCAAGCCTGATCGGACTCTCGGGCTCCGCCCCAGTGGCTCTGGAGTTTCCCATGTTAACCTTATGAGTACCGGTACTCATATTTAAATGGAATTCATGAATCTTAACAGCTGTTTCAATTAAACAAGTTGGTTCTGTTCTATGATGTTCAATAGCATTAAATTTACAAGGATTACCAACAGGGTGCAGCACTATTATTTCTTTTACATTTATGACAACAGCTAATTTGCAACCAAAAGGTGAGTGAGCGTAGCGAACGAACTTCAACCTGGAGGCGAGTTAGCGTTGCGAACGAGCTAACCTGAAGGCAAGTGAGCGCAGCGAACGAGCTCCAACCTAAAAGTGAGTGAGCGTAGCGAACGAACTTCAACCAGGAAGTGATTGAGCCTTGCGAACGAGCTCACTTATAAAGTTAAACGGGGCAAAGCCCACGGGTACACCTAGTAAAATATATATGTGTTAACTTGTAACTAGCCTATTTATTGTCAAGTAATCTTTATATAAACCCCAGTTAATAAGGTGGGGAACATTGCAATGTAACCCTGGACGATAAGAGAACAGTGTTCTAGCCACGACAGAGTAAGTTACGTAATGAGTTACAAGTTTGATGATGTAACCCTGGACGATAAGAGAGCAGTTCTAGCCAGGACAGATTAAGTAACACAATGAGTTACAAGCTTGATGCCAGTGTTTGATATGTTTTATTTCTCTGCATTCCTCCTAACATTTATTTATTGTACACGAAAGTGATAAATAATAACCTTAACTTAACCTTACTTACTTAACTTACTTACTTAACTTAACCTGTTAGCTTAACCTGACTTACTTACTTAACTTAACCTTAACCGTTCCAAATTTGGTATAGTTTACGATGTGTTTTGTCAACACAGTGACATCATCAGGTGATCTGCTATTTCTTCGTCCTCAAAATTAACATAAAACAGTCATTACACAATACACAAACACACATTTATTGAGTAATGACTATTTTATGTTAATATTGAAGATGAAGCTATAGCGGATCACTCGATGGTGTCACTGTGCTGACGAAACGCGTTGTGAACTACATCAAATTTAGAAGGATAGAAGGTAACATTATTATTTATTAATAGTTGACGTTCCAGAAGTAGGAAATGAATTCTAATATAATTAGGCCTAGTGTGTAGTCATTTTAAATCAAAATTTCTCCATTACCTAAAAAAACTCTTATAAGTGTAAAACTTGGTACTTATATTGCATCTTACTTCCGGAATAACATACTAAAAGTCCTCGAGTAAAAACTTGTGCTACGGCCGCCATCTTGGAAAATGGCGTCCAAAAACCAGTTTTCCCCGATTACTCAAAAACTATTCATCCTATAACAGAACATTAAATGTGAAGAATGTTCGCCAAAGAAAGAGCTACAACTTTTGTATTCATAATATTTCGATATAATTAACCGTTTAATAAGATCTAAGGTTGGCTGGATTTTAAGTGGGAGGGAAAAATCACCAAATGATGCAAAATCAAACACTTACTCAACGTCCTTCCTCACTATGTCACAACCTACAAATGTTTTTAATTTAAGGAATCATTTTGGGGAACCAGACTCACAGTTTGTACAAGATTTACATATTAAAGACCTATGGAGTTTGGATAGTATAGGGATTCGTGATTGCCCTCATCAAAATGATGATGATATAGCTTTGGGTCAGTTCAATGAAACTATTAAGCATGAAAATAGTAGGTATTCGGTTGGTTGGTCTTGGAAGGAGTATCCCCCTGACTTACCATTTTACCAAAAAACTACAATTTGACACTTTCAAGACTTAACTCACTTTTGTACCGTTTTAAAATCAATTCTAGTGTGCTTGAAGAGTACGATAAAACAATCAAGGATCAACTCTGTAACGGAATTATTGAAAAGGCTCCTCCTAACGATGTGTTTGATACTCTTTGTCAAATTATCATATTGCTTGTTTTCTCTATAACATTTGTTTTGTGCTGATTTAATTAACATCTGTTACCTATATTCATTTTTTCTTCAAAATATACACAATTTTACAGTCCACAAAGCTCTTAAGTCATTTTTTATTATAAGTTTATTTTCAACTTTTAATTCAACGCAACGCAGATACCCAACACGATGACTTAACAGTTTGTCACTATATCCCACACCACCCAGTTATCAATGAGTGTAAAATCACAACGAAACTAAGAATTGTGTATGATGCATCATCAAAGAGTAAAAAGACAAATAACAGTTTAAACGATTGCTTGTACCGTGGACCGGTAATTTTAGAAGATTTGTGTAGTCTACTTCTCAGATTTCGCATGAATCCTGTTGGTATTGTTGTGGACATCGAAAAAGCATTTCTACAATTAAATTTACAGGAATCTGACAGGGATGTTACTAGTTTTTGTGGCTTAAGGATAAATCCTCTCTTTCCCTAGAAAACAATGTTGAAGCTTATAGATTTTGTAGAGTGCCATTTGGAGTAATTTCTAGTCCTTTTCTATTGAATGCAACTATACAACATCACTTACTCCACTCTCAACTTTCTGGGATTTCTGAACGCTTGAAACATTCCTTTTATGTCGACAACATGATATCTGGAACTCAAACCAGTCAGGACGCGGTTATTCTTTTCCAAATGAGTGAAACTACTTTTTCACAAGCTAGTATGAATCTAAGGGGTTGGTGCTCAAATTCTAAGCTATTTATGGCAAGTATTCCTGATGATAAAGTTATTACTGAAAATGAAAACAGTGTTTGTGTTTTGGGATACACTCAAAGACACGCTCTCTGTAAAACCAGTTAAAGTTGAACCATGTGTCGTAACGAAGAGGACTGCACTGAAACTAGTAGCTTCCATTTTTGATCCTTTGGGTTTATTTACTCCTGTAGTTTCGAAAGCTAAGTTATTCATTCAAAACTTGTGGCTTGAAGGCATTGATTGGGATGTAGAGCTGAACTCAGAACTTACAAAGGTATGGATGCAGATTCAATCAAACCTACTTAAAATTCCTGAGGTATGTAATCCAAGATATGTTGGAATCATTGGAGATACTTTAGAGTTACATTGTTTCACTGATGCATCTAAAGATTGTTACGCTACAGCTGTTTATTTGTGATTAAAGAGTAATAATACATCCACGACAAAATCAATACTTATTTTCTCTAAATGTCATAACCCCTAAGTCTAAGCCAAACATCACTATACCACGATTGGAATTACTTGGTGTTTTAATTGGGGTGAGATCATTAAAGTTTACTGAAACTGCGCTGAAGACTTCTGTGACACGAAATAGTTATTTGTGCAACTAGTGAGAAAACTGAGCAATTGACTCACTTGAGAGAAATCCTTACTCACGAGCCGTAGGTGAGTGAGGAATGGTTTCTCGACTGAGGCAATAGCACTTTGCACTCGAGTTGCACATTATATTTTTCCTACAGTTACCATAAAACAAATAAATTGGTAAAGAAACGTATAACATATTTTTACACAGAAGTGAACTTTTAACATAACATTTAATGTGAAGTGACAAATACAACAGTACAACAGCTGACCAGCTGATTTACAGCCAGTGCTGCCAACGTATTTCGCGCGCATACAACGTTGTCTGCATGTTACGCGCTCACTATTTCGTCCCTTCATGTTGCAAATATGGAGTGAGAGAGAGTAATTAGAGTGAGACAATGTTAACATTGTCTCACTGATGAGCGAATTGGCCACTTTGCTTTCTCAAATCAGTGAGAGAACATGTAAATTGTTAAGTAACTGTAGGAAAAATACTTTGGACAGACTCACAATGTGTTCTCCATTGGTTGAATACAAATAGGATACTACCAAAGTTCGTTGAGCGAAGACTCTCGGAAATTAAATCACATACCGATGTAGAATTTCATTACGAACCTTCTAGTAACAATCTTACAGATTTGGCAACTTGCGGATTGACTATTAATAAGTTGCAGGAGAGCCAGGTATGGTGGTCAGGCCCAGAATTTCTAGGTTCATCGGAACATGAATGGCCACGAAATGACTTTAATCAAATCACTTCAATGTCAGAACAAACTTACCAAGACACATTGAACACTTTGTGAACTTCCCACATCTAACCAAGAAGTTATGGCTGCAACTCAAGAAACCACAAGTAAAGGAAGTCCTTTTGACATTGATTGTACAAAGTTATCGTCTCTAGAAAACCTAATTCGAACGATAGCATATTGCAAACGATCTATTAAAGCATACAGGAAACTTTCAACTCCATTTATATCCACTTGAAGTGAGGATTTGTTAGTTTTTGTCCTTCGCCCGGAGTGTGCCAAAGGCATGGATTAAATTAATGTACTAAATGTCAGCTGGTTCAACTTAAATTGTTACAATGGAAATACAAAAACTGTGGATCAAACTCTCTCAACTTATTTCAGTTTTATCAAACTTTTAATCTTGTAAAACTAACAAACTTAAACTTTAACAACTAACTATTTGACAAAGGGGTTTAATTATGTAAGTTAAGGGTTTGTCTGAGTATACAAAGTGTCTGTCGCTGTAGAAAAAAGTGTCCAGAGCTTCCCAAGGGCAGTAGTGCATGCCCCCCTCCTCAATTAAGATGTTGATTTAAAATATCAAAGTAAAAAATATAGTAAATTGTTATTGGCCAAATGTCAATTAATTGTTGTAAAAATGTAATAATACTTTTTCACCTGTTTGTTCCAGTGAAACAACAGCAAGATCCAATATGAGAGTGGGGCAGTATGCCGTTGACATAAAATCATTCGAACTAACAGTATTACCAATTCTGGCTTCTAAGGTAATTTTGATATGTTTGGTTATATTAACTGATCAATGTCTTTTAACAACTTTATGCTAGTTAATTGAGATTCAGCCCCCATCCAAAGAGTGTATTTTTATACATCAGCTAAGCTATGAAAAACTGTATATTTGCTCCTATTTGAGTCAACAGAGTTCATGTTCATGAGATAGACATTAAGGCTAAACATCCCTGAAAAAGTTGTGTTTCTAGCCCGATAGATAGCAGCACCTCTGTGGCAAATTTGCACTGGGAAAAATTTCTGTAATTATTGTCCGATTTTTCTTTTGTAAGTTATTTTGTAAATGATATGAATAAAACATTCACGCTGGTGTGATGATCTTTAAGCGAATTTCCCATATAGGGAATAAGCTATTACCGTAGTACTCATGGTAAGACCTGGACCCGGGACCGATGTACTTTTTCGTTTTGAGGTCCCTAGAGGCCAAAAACACCATCCGTTCAAATATTTGTTGCCGGGGGCCTCACTTGGGACCTCAGATTCTTTTCTCAATAAACTATTTCACCGATAATCTGTTTTGCGGGAGATTTGATTAAATCAGTGTGACCGCAAAATATTTCCATAATTCATCTACGATCGCAGAAGCTGTCCAGGGGATTTTATCGCGACCGCGGGAGTCGAAGATCATGTCCCCGCAAACTCGAAAGATCTTCACAATTTTGTCATGATTGAAGGAGACGAAAGATGATGTATCCGCGCTAGCACAAGATGTTAACTATTTCTGTGGCCAAAGGAGTCGTTCATGATTTCACCGTGATAGGATGAGACGAAGATGATGTCTTCGCGATCGTGCAAGATGTTCACTGTTTTCCGGAACCACAGGAGACATTCATGATTTCGCCACGATCGTAGAAGACAAAGATGATGTCTCCGCGATCATGCATGATGTTCACTATTTTGCCGTGAACGTAGTAGATGTCCACGTTCCTCCACAACCACGGCAGATGTCCACGATTTTACTCTGACCACAATTACTATGAAGACCCTTACAATTTGGCGGCGATTCCAGATTTTGTATAAACCGATTATACAGGGTGTTGAAAGAGTCTTAACACACCCAAAATTAAATTAGTTTAATTTATTAATTAACTAGCAGAGTACCCGTCCTTCGTACGGGGTTGGAATATAAGTATAAAATGCTTATTGCAGTTATACTCAAGCTTTGCGTTTGCAATAAGGGAGGACACAGTTTGATAACATTTGCTTTTTTAAATTTACAGTATTTTATAGTATTACACATCTACCATAGCCATAATGTTCTACCGCTTCACCTAAACAATAGAGAAAAATAAATTATCAACAATTCGCAAAATATCACAAATTATTCATGAAATGAAAAACATAAACATAACTGTAAACAATCCTACTTTGACAGTTCTCATTGCGAATCAGTTTTTGTTGCTGCTTAGTTCAAATTAGCTGTTATCATAAATGCAAAAAAATATAGTGCTGCACCCTGTTGGTAAATCTTATAACTTTTTAATGCTTTTCCATATCATAGAACCAACTTTTTTAGTTGAAACAGCTGACTAAATTCTTTAATTCCCTTTAAATATGAATACTCATAAGGTTAACATGGGGAATTACAGAGCCACTGGGGCGGAGCCCGAAATGATTTTTGAGATAAGAATATGCCTATATGTTAATTGGGAATGTAAGCTATCATCATGCCAAATTTCAGCCCAATCCGTCCAGTGGTTTATGCGTGATTGAACTTCAAACACACAAACAAACAAACACACAAACTTTCACATTTATAATATTAGTAAGATAAGATTTTGGGTGTGTTAAGACTTTTTCAACACCCTGAAATATATCACATATATCAATTAATATATTTTTCATTTATTATTTCTAAATCTACCCAATTTTAATCCGATGCCTGAAGGTCAACATTATTTACTCCACCCGAAAGAAATAAAAAAATGTCAGGCCCCGACCTAAGACCGCTAATAGTAGGCCTATTACTAAAAAAATAATATACTTTAGGGAGTTTCCTAGGACACACGGTTACAGTGAAAAGGTGTAGGCCTATATTAATAATAAAACTGTGCAGTGACATATAGAATATGGATTTTAAAGCTCCAGGACCACTATCCCTAAATGGAAATGTATCAAAAAATTTTAAAAGATTTAAGCAGTCATTTAATATTTATATGAAGGCAACTGGCCATGAAAATAAAGAATCAGAGGTTAAAACTGCAATACTTTTCAACTAGACATCTATAACACCTTCGACTTAAAGGATGATGATAAAAACAACTATGATGAGGCTGTATTAAAAGCCTTTGAAGAATATGCCTGCCCAAAGTCAAATGTTGTAATAGAGAGGTTTAAATTTAACTCCAGGAACCAGCAAAGTGGTGAGCCCTTCGAGAACTTTATAATCGATCTTAAGAAGCTAATAAAATCATGTGAGTTCGGGGATCAAGCAGACAGTCTTTTACGTGACAGAATAATCGTTGGAGTAGAAGACAAAAATATCCAAGAAAGAGGATGCTCCGAGAAGCTGACTTAAGTCTGGAAAAACTCTGAAAGTGTGCCGTGCTACAGAGATGGGAAAACGACTAGCGGGAAAACTTCAAGGAAGGACTTCTACGAACATCAATGAAATTTGTCATCCCAATCGTGTAAATCACAGGCCCTTTGGTAACAATGGACAAGTTAAGGTAGGCCAGTCTAAACTTTTTGATAAATCTAATTATAGGCATAGGGCCACTGGTACTTCAGATCAGAAAAGTGTGGTGTCTAATAGTTATTCTAAGAACAATGTGTCCGCAAGTTCGCCTAGTCAACAATTTTTTGATTGTAAGAATGCGGTCAAACTCATGGTTTTAAGTGTTGCCCCGCATTTGGGAAAAATGTAAATGTTACTAAATCACTTTGCCATAGGGTGTAAGTTAAAAAATGTAAAGTGTATTGATAAATCTCAAAGTGAGTTGTCACTAGCTGCTGGTAGGCCTGAAAATAATTCTGATGAAAATCTTTTTATAGATACTGTTAATTTTGCCAACAATAATAGGCCTAATGAAAAACAGTGGTTTGAAAAAATTGTTGTTGAGAACAATTTAGAAATAGTATGTAAGCTAGAACTTATATAATCAAATTTATTGTTAATTTTAGTTATGGTTAAATCTAGGAAATGTATTGCGTTGTCTTCTTCTGTTTCTAATGTGAACTTTAATCTCGGGGCTATTTTGTTTAGATAATTTAGAAGTAGATCCAACTGCCTTTTACTGCCATCAAACAAGACAATGGTATCATCGACATATCTATTGTATAATACTATTTTAGAATGATATTTGTTCTTGTCAGATAAAATGTACTCATTTTCAATGTAATTTAAGTATATATCAGATAAAATTCCAGAGAGTTATCAAACAAAATAGCCCCGAGATTAAAGTTCACATTAGAAACAGAAGAAGACAACGCAATACATTTCCTAGATTTAACCATAACTAAAATTAACAATAAATTTGATTATAAAATCTACAGGAAACCCACTTTTTCAGTTCAGACCATTCACGCAACCTCATATCATCCGCATTCTCAAAAAATTGCAGCATACAGCTCTATGGTACACAGACTTTTAACGGTCCCCTTAAGTCCCACAAATTACAATAATGAATACAATATCATCAAACATATAGCCATATCCAACAGCTATAATAGCGGGCTTGTAGACAGACTTATAATCAAACACCATAATAGAGAGGTCAAACAAAAGGACGAACGTAAGAAGTACGTATGTATTGAATATTCCCACACACTACAAAATTGCCTATCCAAAGAGCTTCGTAGGCAGGGAATCAAATTAACATTCAAAACTACAAACCGTACTCGTAACACCCTGTCACAAATTGACCGATCAAGAGATAAAATGGAAATGACAGGTGTTTACAAAATTAAATACCAAGATTGTCCGAGCCAATATGTTGGGCAAACAGGTCGTGGGTTCGCTACTCGCTACAACGAACACAGGCCCAAACCACGTTTAATCAAACAAAATTCAGCGTTTGCCCAGCATTTAATCGACCTAAACCATAACATGAGTGAGATTGCTGACGGTCTTGAGGTGCTACATAAATGCAGTAAAGGTAGTAAACTAAACACGTTAGAGGAGTTTGAAATTTACAAATTGTACCACGACAACACTGCCTGTGGACATATCCTCAACGAAAAACTGCAGTTCCAGTCACACTCTATTTTCAATGTGCTAATTCACCAAAATAACCGGCCACCTGACCTTTGTCCTACTGATAACATGGACAACAACGAGGAAGGAGTCTGACACTGCAGTCTACTACCTGCGCCGGGACCGTCCGTGTCGTGTGCGTGTGATAGGCCTATCAATGTCAATTAAATGTTTACTTTGTCTTTCCGTAATTAAATGTTCGTATCCGTGTATTTATTGTGTGCGTGTGACATCGATGTCTTCGTTTTTGTAACCCTGACGATGCCGTATTTACGGCGAAACATGTAGGTTGTTAACCTCAAACAACATTTGGATTACTTGACGAGGTATAGTACCATTATTATAGTCAACAGATTTAGGTTGATTTTAACAAACCCATGGACGTTTGATTTCATATTAGAAGCAACTAGTGATACTTGTCCACTTTCATTATACATTTTAATTTTGTTTAACTGAACAAACTTCAAGTTTACAAAGCTTGATGTACTCCCGGTGTCTATTAAGCAATTTGCTTTCAGGCCATTCACTCTAGCTTCAACTGTAGAGTCTTTCAATACAGATGTATTATGTGTTGTTGCTATTAGTGCAGCTGATGTACTAGACGTCTTCTGTTTTACTTTAAAATGTTGAGTTGGATTACTTTTACAGACTCTCGCATAATGTCCTGTCTTGTTACATTTCCCACAAGTTGCTTCTCTGGCTGGACAGCGATCTCTTGAGTGTCTGTCATGCCCACAAAAATAACACTTGCCATCAACATTTTCAATAGCGGACACAATCGCTTCTTCCTTTTGTTGTAGATGGAATTCGTACTGACAAGCTTGCTCTGCCAATTTATTCGTTGCACAAGTTTGCATTCCGTACATAGATTTTGGATAGCTCTCGACTTGAGCTTGAGCCATTTCAAGAGCTCTAGACTGTTTCACTGCTTCAGCTAGGTCTAAAGTTTTATTTTCAAATAGTCTCTGACGTATGTATGACGAGGCTAAGCCATTGATGAAAGCGTCACGAATGTAGTGATCCCTGTATTGAATCGCATTAACAGCTTCAAAAACGCAATCTTGGCTCAAAAGTTTCAGTTCCGACACATATTTGTCAATAGTCTCACCTTGTTGCTGTTTTCTAGTCATTACTAAATATCTTGAGAATATTTCATTCTTTTGTTTGATGTAAATTGAGTTAAGAACTCTCAAAGCGTCTTGGTAAGTTTCAGATTCCTTGATAAATCTTTAGGTTGTAAACGATAATCAATTAGTTAGTAGTTTAAGTTTGTCCTTGTCTTCAACAAATTCTCTCATGGTTAAAAAATCTTCGAATGTTTGTAACCAGTGCGTCCATTCCTCTGAGGCAGTTGGAGATTCCGGGTCAATTTGCAATTTGTCTGGTCTAAGGAATTTCTCCATTGTAATGTATGTAGCACTAACTGAGTTTATCAATGAATGAATAAAATTTAGTAAACCAAAAGTATGGCTTTTATTCATTCAAAATTACAACCATGTTTTAGTTAAGAACAAATACAATATTTACAAACAAATCAAATAATAAATATTATCAGGTGATAATGTTCACATCACCACAGATATATTCTGGCGTCCACCGCTAGGAGTGCCGTGTAGTTTCAGCGCACACCGCTGCAACGTCAAGCTCTAGCGAGCGTTGCCATGACTAGTTGGAAGTTGGAGCCAGTGTTGCCAACTTCTTGAGAATACCCCAGAATCCAGGAAGTAGGATTTTGTACCGTCAATTTTCCATTTTGTAAAAATTTATGGGTAGCATTTCGTTTGCAAGGGTAGCAGTGCTGGTAGTAGACGGTGAGTCGACAACGGCATGCCCTAGCAACACATCGCGGAACCTTCCTTTGACAGTTTATATTTATTATATATATATGTCCGTAAACGCGATAGCTTGAGTAATTTTTTTCCGATTTTGATGAAATTTTGTTTAATGGTGTAAGGCAGTTTAAAAACTTGAATGAGTTTGTGAACTAGCATGATCGGACCATGGGAACGGGGTTTTACGGGGTAAAAAAAAAATTTCTAATTTTTGACCCTCAAAACATAAAATTTCCCGATTTCTCTCTAAACCTTTTAAAGAGCTTAAAAAGAAAAACAATTTAGTATATCAAAGTGTCTTTGAACGGTTATTGGTAACGGAGAAAATTCAAAAAATTGTAAATTTAAAATTCCCATTTTATTCTTATGGAGAATATTGTAAAATGTTGTAGTTTGCTTGTTTATGGATATATTTTGCTCAAACTTTGCAAATTTATTTATTTTATAGGTACTAAGTTATTAATATTTTACCAAACATCACACTTTATTATTTTCCTTGTATCAGCAAACCTAGGTACTCGTTAAACCTAATGTTATTTAAATAGATTTAATTGAAAACCAATTCAGACAAATTGAAATTCGCTTAGTCTGCAGGTTTGCTGCGGCCGGGGTATTTATGTAGGGATGGTCAAGTCTCAAAATTTCGGGAAATTTTAAATCTCGTTACACGAAACGAGATTTCTTTTTGGCCGAGATTTTTACCGAGACGGGAATAAAAAAAAAAATACCCCCGCCGCAGCAAACCTGCCGACTAAGCGAATTTCCATTTGTCTGACTGAATTGATTTTCAGTTAAATATATATTTTAATAACATTAGGTTTAACGAGTACCTAGGTTTGCTGCTACAAGGAAACTAATAAAGTGTGTTTTTGAGTAAAATATTGATAGCTTATTACAAAATAAATAAATTTGCCAAGTTTGATCAAAATATATCCATAAACAAGCAAACTACAACATTTGACAATATTCTCCATAAGAATAACATGGGAATTTTAAATTTACAATTTTTTTTCTCCGTTACTAATAATCGAACAAAAATACTTTTATATACTAAATTATTTGTTTTTTTAAGCTCTTTAAAAAGGTCTAAAGAGAAATCAGGAAATTTTGTGTTTTGAGGGTCAAAAGTGAGAAAAACCAATTTTTACACCATAAAACCCCCCGTAAAGCCCCGATCCCATGGTCCGATCGTGCTGGTTCGCGAACTCATTCAAGTTTATCCCGCTTTACACCTTTAAACCAAATTTCATCAAAATCGAACAAAAATTACTCAAGTTATCGCGTTCACGGACGTATATATATATATATATATATATATATAAGTCTATATATATATATATATATATATACATATATAAAAATTTGAACGAATAGTGTTTTTGGCCTCTGGGGACATCAAAATGAAAAAGTAAATCGGTCCCGGGTCTAGGTCTTACCGTGCCACCTATGGTAATAGCTACTTCCCTATAGGGAAATTCGCTAAAAAAGAAATTTAAAACGCCTGCAGAAAGTCAATGCAATACCCGCAATACAGGAGCGTGTTGTAGTTGCGTTTCCTTTCTGAAGGCGTTCTTATTTAATTAATTCTTTAAATGTAAATATTACTTTAATTATTTTAATAATATTACTTTAATAACATTTGAGAAGTTTTGTAAAGTGTAAGCAGTGTGAGGAATGTTTTATTACTATAAAAAGTCAAAACAAGTAACTATTTTATAAAAATTAATATTGCTTTTATTTTATTTTAGGATAAGTTGAACTCTATCCTAACTGATATCACTATGTTTCCTAATCGTAGGCATTTTTAATAAGTTAGGCGTGATTAATCAAAAAATTTTATGCTAATGTTTTTTTAATAAAAGATTGTAAATATTCTTGCCTATTATCATTATTTTTGTATTTAAACAGTCATCTAACAATGTTACAAAATCAGGTAAAAATTTTGAACGTGCATTTCCCGTTGTGTATGAGAAGGGAAATCCCGTCTCGATCTCGTCTCGAAATTTTATGAGAAATAAAAAATCTCGTCTCGTCTCGAACTAAAAATCCAATCTCGTCCATCCCTATAATTTATGTTAGTGATTAATTTGTTTGTGTTTAATTTAATTTATGTTGGTAACAGCTGATCATATGTAAATAGTTAGGATTGTTTCGTAATGATGAGAGAGACAAATTTTGACAGAGAAGAGAAGTAACATTTTGTGTTTTAAAATGTGGTTCAGTAAAGTTACAAATATAAGTTATTAACATAAAATACAAACAAATATATATAACAGTTAAAACTTATGTGTAGTTATTTACTTTCACTAGTTCTTGTGTCACATACTGTACGTTTGATTATAGGCCTAATATACAAGGCATGTTTTTAAAGTAAGTACCGTTTTTAAATTTCTCCGTTCCAGCTGCGATTGGCATTTTGGACAATATCACTGTGTATGTGCATCTATTGGCAAGCCGTAGCCAGAAATTTGGCAACAATCGGCCGTGTTTATATCCGGTTTCGAGCATTGAAAATGGTGGCGCCATTTGAGACTGCCGCCGACTGTGAAGTGAACGCTGTAATTTGATTTTTTTTTTGTGATTAAGGTGTGAATGCCATTGAAATTTATCGACAGATTAGTGAAGTGTATGGCGAGAACATTATAAGTGACGGAATGGTACACAAGTGGGTAAGGGCATTTAAAGACGGCAGCACCAACGTTCATGATGAGCCAATGAAAAAGTGAGAGAAAACAGACGGTTTACGATCTCATCATTATCTGATGAGTTTCCTTTAGTTTTGAGAATTGTCCTTTATGATATTGTGACTGAAAGATTTAGTAACGAAAATTGTGCTCACGCTGGGTGCCGAAAATGTTGACTGAGGTGCACAAAACCAAGCGTCTAGGCCGTGCATTGACTTTTCTTGAGCGCTACGAGGAGAAAGGAGATGATTTGTTAGGTCAAATTTTTACCGGCGATGGAACATGGGTGTCTTATGTTACGCCAGAGTCAACATCTTTGTGGTTAGCGCCTAGACAACGATGATGAGGTCAAAACGCAGTGACACAATGGTTATCCAGTCAGGCGGGAGAATTCTTTGAGAAAGGAATGCTCGTGGAACGATATGATAAATGCCTTAATATTGATGGAAACTATGTCAAAAAGTATATTAAGATACTGGCTTTCAAATAAAAATATGATTATTACACTAAAGTATACTGGTTTTTGTTTTATTTTAAAACGGAATAGTCAATGACGGTACTTACTTAAAAAACATGCCTCATAATTAAAATTGAATTCCTAATTTTCAAACGATGTTGATATTTTTGAAGGAGGATGGAGTGCTGGTAATTGATGAAATTGGAAGAATGGAGCTCTGTAGCAAAAGGTTTGGTGAAAATGTATTGCGGCTTTTTAAAGATAACAGGATTGTCATTGCCACTATTCCTATCAGACCTTTGCCTTTTGTTAGCCAACTAAAATCTGAAAATCCTTCAGCTGTTGTTATTGAGGTAAGCTGATGTTTCAAAAATGGTATAGTGTATGCATAGCAATAAAATACTTGGTTGATACCTTATTTATATTCTAGCCCTGCTTCTCCACAAGATCGTTAACATGTTTTTAAAATTATAATCTCATTAACTTAGATTTGTTTAAAAACAATTTATTTAACCCTTCGAGTGGCCAACCGACCGTATCGGTCGGTTCATGGGTGAGCCTTAAAGTGGCCAATGACCAAATCATTTGGTTCGGGTCTGAACATTTTGTAATGCTGATCAAACATTTACGCTATAATGAGCCTAAGCTTGACTAAAACCATAGATTAAACATACTCCCTTAGGGGGTACTCCCTAATTGAGTATGTTTAATCTATGCTAAAACCTATATCAATCGAACGTTTAGACTCTAAAGTTTTATTTTATAACACTAACAACCCCAGTAGCATCAGTACAAACATAGTATGATAGTTAGAATAAACAATATTTTTCAGCTGTAAGTCAATCCAGCTGACGACGATCCCAAAATGTCAAAACTGAGTTTTTTCTAGTTACTGAAAAAGTTAGGTAAATTTAATGTTAGCGGGTTAATGTTGGTATCAATTTACACAGAGAAATAAATACTATGCGTAAATTATAAAACTTTTACCAATAAGGTTGTAATGTTTAATCTATGGTTGTATGTAATTTTGAAGAGCAGAAAACTTAGATTATTTTGGTTTTATGGTTAGAACAAGTTGTAACTTGTAGTTTATTATGAAATGGGCCCCTGGTGGTGACATAGTGAATTTTGGAACATTTTGAATTTTGAAATATTTGGATGGAATTACATTTGACTAATTTTGTTCAATATGTCTAATATTATATTTCTTCATGTCCTACATGAGACATATCTTGGAGTGATATGAATCAACCCTCTGAGTGGTGACAGGTTGTTTCCATAGTGGCCAAGCCACATTGCCATTTTGCAGACATTTTGTTTTTAATCACATAAAGTTAAATTATGGATTGAACATATCAATATGCAATAGGAATATGTGAAAAGAAATTGGATTGGATGCATTAAAACTTTCACAAAATTTCAAAAACTAAAAAAAAACTAAAAGTCCCAGGTGAAATTTTAAAATTAAAGTTGTAGCCTGACCAAATACAAATTTTTATGCAAAACTAATTATATATGTTTTGTCTAAAATTTTATTTACTATACACGAAGATGTATAAACACATGTAGAACAATTTTTTTTGTATTGTGCTATTATTTATGGAAAATCAGAAAATGTGATGTTTTGGCTGTGTGATTTTATTTTGGAAATAAGTCAGGTAAGATAAGTATATTCTTTTCCTACAGTTACCTAACAATGTATATGTTCTCTCACTGATTTGAGAAAGCTAAGAGGCCAATTCGCTCATCAGTGAGACAATGTTACATTGTCTCCCTCGAATTACTTTGTCACACTCCAGATTTGAAACGTGAAGGCACGTTTCTTTACCAATTTATTTGTTTAATGGTAACTGTAGAATTTCGGTAGCGTGTGTGGAGTGGACTGTATTTATAAGATAAGCAGAGTTTGATTCTTCAAATTAGAACACTGAGATACAATTGACAAGTAGTTTTAATAACAATTAAACTTTGAGTGATTTCACAGAACTTTACATTTTTTTTTAGTACAAAAGAGAGAGAGGGATCTTCATTTCTTGATGTTTTGTTTTCAACTAACAAAAATTACTAATAGTTAATTGTTAAAATCACATCTATTACTTATTTAATACGCAAGCAGGTTTTTTGTGACAATTACTCCTCCGAAACTACTGAACCGATTGATATGTTTTTGGTGTCATTGGAAAGAGCGTAACGTGAAGTTGTGCAGGAAACTTTCTTTTTAGGGAAATAATTAGAGGGTGAGGCCCTGGGGCCCTTTAAAGTTTCGTATTTCTCCATAAGATTAACATGGGAAACAAATATTGTTATGATACTCCAGCTGTTGTCAGAAATTAAAAGTGAGAAGAAGAACATATGTTAATTGTAAACAGTCAATAAGTTTGCTAATTTAACAGTTAGTTTGCCACAAACATTTACTTACTCGGTTGAAATGAAATAGTTATTATTTGAATTTGGGTTGGCGTAATTATTACAATGGGAAAAAACGAGAGAGCCTGGATAAATTGATATACTAAAAAGAAAACTGAATTAACACTGTGCTGCATTCCTTAGTAATCATTGAAAGAGACGATTTGCAAACTATGGAAACATAGGAAAGTCATAGAACACCACCAAGGGGAAGAAATAGAAATAATTTGTGTTATAAACACTAAAAAACAAAATCAGCTTTTGAAAAATGATAAGATATTTACAAGAAATTTTGATTATATCGATCTGTTATGTACATCTTGAGTATTCCATAATCTTTGAGTCAAATCTTTTATAGTCATAAAAAATATGACTGTTGTTCGTTTTAAAATAACGCCTGTAATACTTAGCAATTGCTCGATTTCGAGCAACAGGGACACTAGTGTTGTTTTAAAACATAAAAACAAGTAAAAAATCAATGCCATCTGTATTTATTTTTAGATAAAAGAAAGCATTATTATAACAAATCACAATTACACTGAATATTACAGAACATACCCCCGCCCGTGAACCACTAAGAGGGGTTCACCTAATAATAATAATGAAGTATTGAGAAAAAATGCATTTTATAAATGAACATATTTACAATAAACTCTTGGTTAACAGTCTAACTTCTTTTATTACTCATTGATTGGGAGGGGTGAGACTTTAGTTATAGATCTGGAGAGTGTTCCTGTTGAAGTTTTTATTCTTACAACTCGTACAAGACCATCTTGCCCTGGGGAGGTTGAAATGATACGTCCCATTTTCCATGAAAGGGGAGGTTGGTTTGGTTCATGCAATAGGACAAGATCTCCAATTTTGATTTTAGGTTGAGGACTTCTCCATTTCCCTCGTTGTTGCAACGTGTAGAGGTATTCTTTTTGCCATCTTTTCCAAAAACTTTGGGTTAAGGCTTGAACAAACTTCCACCTTGACAATCTTTTTGTTGAGACATCATTCCAGTCAGCTTCGGGAAGAGATAAAAGAGGTCCTCCAATCAGAAAATGACCAGGAGTTAAGCAATCAATTTCGCTGGGGTCAGATGAAAGTGGGGTTATGGGCCGTGAATTTAGAATTGCTTCGATGCGAGTTGTTAGTGTGATGAACTCTTCAAGAGTAAGAATCTGTTCGCCTATGACTCTCCGAAGATGGTGTTTGACACTGCGGACAGACCCAAAGGCCACCTTGGTGTGGAGCTGCGGGGGATAAGAAATGAAATGTAATGTTGTTGTTTTCCATGGAAAACTTAACAAGAGCTTCTTGAGTTTCTTTCTGTATGAAGAAATTCTTTACAATCTTTTGAACTTCATTAGCGGCTCCTACATAATTTGTTCCGCAGTCCGAGTAGATGTTGCTACACAACCCTCGTCGAGAGACAAATCTTGTCAATGCTGCTAGGTAAGCTTCGGAACTGAGATCTGTAACAACCTCTAAATGTACAGCCTTGACAGAAAAACAAATGAAGATACAAACGTATACTTTGATTGGACAGGACTTCCTTAATTTGCAAGGTTTAACTGAGAATGGGCCTAAAAAGTCCGTCCCGCAGTTGTTGAATACTCTTGCGGGTAGGACTCGTTGTGAAGGAAGATCTCCCATTTTCTGAGTTGTTGTCTTAGGATTGCATTTAAAGCATCGGATGCACTTGTAAACTCTTCTTCGAATAACACTTCGAGCAGATAGGATCCAAAACTTCTGAGATATAACGGCTTGTAAAAACTGAGGTCCAGCATGCAAGTGTTTCAAATGGTAATGATCAACAATGAGATTGGTTAGTTTTGGGCAATACAATAGGATGCTTTGCAGCTTAGGATACTTGAGAGTGCTTAAGGCGGCCTCCAACACGAATCAATCCATTTTCGTCTAAGAAGGGGGAGAGAGACGCAAGACGGGAGGAACAAGGTTTTCCAGCTTTCAATCTAGAAATATCTTCAGAAAAAACTGTTGAATATTTACAGATAGTGATTGTTGCTTTATCAAGCTCTTCAAGCTTTAAAATCCTGATTCTTTAACCTGGTTTGTTAAGTTATTTTTGAAGCGTAAAATGTAAGCGATGACTCGCTGGAGGGTTGACCAAGATGAAAACCTGTTGAATAAGTCTGGTTTTTGAGTTGTAACCATTATTTGTAAAGGTTCGGCATTACGCTCTGGCAATTGTTCACCTTGGAGAGGGGTGAAGCGAGGAATAGGCCATGATTCCTGATCCAGAGATAACCAATCGGGACCGTTCCACCATAAACTGTTGTCTTTCATAGAAATGGGAAGGGTTCCTCTACTGGCAATGTCAGCTAGATTACAATGAGTTGAGACATGTTTCCATATGTAAGTAGGAGTAAGTTCCTGAATTTCAGAGACTCGATTTGCAACATAAACTTTTAAGCGGTAGGGTACAGTTTTTATCCATGACAAGATTACAGATGAATCACACCAAGCATGTAATTCGTTGACAAGATAATCTTGAGGGAGTAGGGAGTTGCAATAGTTCAGGAGTTTGGGCAAAAGATGGGCACCACACAATTCTAGTCTAGGGATGGAGATCTTCTTAAGAGGAGCTACTCGAGCTTTGGCAATTAACAGATGTACGTTGATTCCTCCGGAAGAACTTACACATCGCAAGTAGACACAAGCTCCGTAACCTGTTTCAGACCCATCACAAAATCCATGTAAACTGATATGAACAGCATCAGCTACGGAAACATATCGAGGTAAGCTAATTTCACTTAAGAAAGGGAGTTGTTTGAGGAACTTTGACCATTTTTCAGTTAGATCCGGAGGTACAGGCGCATCCCATGATAAACCTAGTGCCCATAAAACTTGTATCAACGCTTTTACCCAAAGAGTGACTGGAGTCAACCAACCGTTTGGATCAAATATTCTGCTAACTGTTCCAAGTATACCTCGTTTA